GGCAAGTGGATAAATAAGTACAGATTTCACCCAACTACATTGTCAGCAACCAGATAGGACACTGTCTTCTGCAGCTGAAACACAGAAAATATCTTCTGCAGTTTGACACACATACATGCCAATATAAAGGTTTTCTTTATACTCCTGGTGAATCTGCTGGCGGTAGCTGACCCTAGAGATTTCCAGATGGTGCAGACCTACCGTCAGCTCAACTTTACAGTCACAAACTGGTCTCCTAAGTCCTCCTCTTCTCTTTCTTTCTGTAGCAGTTCTACACTGGCTGGCATTGATCTCCCAAAACCTCATGCTAATTTCCCTGGCTTTTCCATTTATACCCCTCCTTTGGACACCTCCTGCTCCCAGGTACATTGGGGCATGTAGTTCCTTTCAGGCTACTGCAATGGCACAACTTATGGGTCAGACTACATGTCCCAGCATTCATTGTCCTATATTTGCTAATCAGGAGCTCAAGGCATCTACTAGCTCTATCTTGTGACAGAAAAGGGAACTACACTCAGGAATTTTTACAATAATACATTTAAGGCTCTGCATAATTCAGTAACAGCAAATCTGGTTACAACAGTTATGGTTAGCATTTTGTTAAGACAGGTACAAACAGAGAAGAAAGTGAAGAATATTTGAAAAGTGAAAGCTATTTTTCAGCTATAAAGAAAAAAAAAATGTCTGTATGATTACAGCTGCAAAGATAAAGACATGTTTGTAAAGTGGAGAAAATAGCTATGTAGCTTTGCACTGTGCATAATGCTGTAGTCTCATAACATGGTAAGGGAAGCAGCAGCAGCTCCCACTTGCCAATGATACTTCCTTTTCCAAAATCAGACTCCGATGTCAGCATCTTCTCTTTTGGCCTAAATATGAAAGTTCATGCTGTATAATTAAAGTAAACTTTTCATGTGAGAAATATGGGGGATGCCACTGTCAGGGCTCCGGGTATGACCAGAGGTGTGTGGACTGACAGAGGGAAATGCAGGCTTCAGATATGGTATAAACAATATAATTTATTTAAGACTAAACAATACATAAACGCAGTGCAAGACTAAACATAAACACAGTGCAAACAAACCAAACCAAAACCCCCAACAGAAAACAAAAGAACAATACTAAGCATAGTCGGGCAGGCTGGGTCAGTAGCAAATGGGCAGGCAAGGTACAAAGGAGCAGGCAGAGCGTAGTCAGACGGGCCAGGTCAGGAACAATCAGGCAGACAAGGTACAAAGGAGCAGACTGGAGAGTGGTCAGGAATAGCAGAGGTCAGGACAGGCGGAGTTCAATCAGAGTCAGGGATCAAGCAGGATCAGACAGGAAGCAGACAGGATGCAGGTACAGGGCCTCTTGGGAAACATACACCGAGGCCCTGATCACAGGCCTGGCCATTCCTTATATGCACCTTCTGCAATCAGCGTCAGGTGTTTTGGCTGACTGCAGGAGTGAGCCTCTGGTTGCTGAGAGCACCCGCTGGCCAGTCCTGGTACTGCAACCCACAAGGCAGGTGAGTCCCACCGCTATTGGCGAGTCCATTCCTGACAGCCACTGTCCTCCTTCTGAAAAGAATAGTTGCCTGGCTGACAAAATTGACATGGAACAATTATGTAGATCAGGAAAGTTTGACCTATTACAATTTTTAGTTTAATGATCCAGTGGTTGTGGTTTATATTACAATATTTTAGTTTAATGATCCAGTGGTTGTGGTTGATCACTACTCAGCTGTTGCTAGTAGGGAAAGCCTACGAGCTGAAATCCTGAAATGCTCCTTGGTGAAACTCAATTCCTTGGAAATAACAGGGAATTCCTAATTTAATTGAGGCCATTGCAGCCCTTATGACACATAGTAGAGTCCACAATAGTAATAAGCAAATCTGCCTGGGTTTGGTTGGCATACATTTTTTGCAAATCTTTCTTGAAGTCTGTAAACTTTACAGTGAATCCTTTTGAAGTCTAAGAGAGCCAATCATGTTAAGCAAACTATTGTTAAATGAAAGACATAGGGACCTGGAAACCGCTATATGGGAATACCAGTATAAATAAAAAAAACACTAATACAATAATAGTATATTTCCCTGAACAGAATTGTCAGATCTTGCTACCAGCTCCAACACACACTGATGATGGCTGTTTTTTTGGATGGTTAGCTGTTTTTTTTTTTTCCATTTGCCTTGCATTGCATTATAGGTTGTCTCTTTTTTTTCTAGCAGTAAACCTGCAAGCTTTTCTTGTACCAAAGAAGGTTTTATTAAACATGGTAAAGAAACATACAAACCAATGCAAATCGTATAATACAGAGTGAGATCAGACAATAGAGGACAGGGGAACATCATACAAAAACACAGAAATACACATATAAGGCCCACACTAGGGTCTAGATAACACTGTGTAAAACATAGGGCCACGAAGCCCACAATCACATCCTGAAATATAAAAGCTACATTCAAGAAAGGCAGCAAAAAAAACATAAAGAGAGCCTCACCCTCTTGAGGAAATATTATTGTTAGATAACAACAACAAATGATAAGCAATTGGTCTAATGTAAACCAACCATGTAAAAGGAGAGAGAAAAAAAAAAAGGGTCGAAAAGATCCAGAGAGGGCCACGGGGTCAAGAACATCTGACCCCCCAATCCAGAAAAGATAGAAAAACAAAAAAGGAGGAAGAGAACAGGGAAGAAAGAGACAGACCAGCAAAGAAAAGAAGTTTGCCTAGGGGAGAGCAGGGAGACACGATCCTCACACAAGGGGATTGAAAAGGCAAATCTCAACACATAAAAGATTAGTGAGCTTCATGGTAAAACGAGAAACCAGGTGGTAGTCCACCCAAGGTTGTCAAACTGAAAAACGTATTGTGCTTATCCTCCAACACCGCCGTCAATTTTTCATTGATAAAGAAGTCTTGGATCCTGGACCTGACCTCCTCAAACTGTAAAGTGGTGGTCTTCCAAGAGCCGGCAATAGTCTGCTTTGTAGCCATAAAAAAAAAATTGACCAGTGAGCGGGGTCTGCGAGGTAGGCCACGAAGTGGCTGAAAAAAAAAGTGAGGGTAATAGGGTCTTTTTTAAGGTTAATGGATGCAACTGAATAAATAAGATAATAAAACCTAGTCCACAAGCGTGGGCCACTGGACAGGTCCACCTGCAAGCTTTTCAGCTAGAAGTTTGTGATTTGTGAACTCTGAAAACCCCAGGGATATGCTGTAAACCAATATTAGCATCCCTAGTTGTCAATCACCTTTGACACATTCTTTGAATACAGATAATAGAGAACTTGTATTATTAATCTGTGCAGATATTTATACTGATTATCTCTGTTTTAAAGTGGTAGTAAACCGCATCCAAAAGAAAAAAGAAACCCTGCAAGGTAAAGGCATAATGTGTTAGTATGCATTGCATACTAGTACATCATGAAGGACTTACCTTGAAATGAAGCTCTCCAGTAGAGCTCTGTCACGACTCTCCGGGGCTTCCATCTTCACCCAGTTTCCGGGTTTGCAAGCTCTGGCCAGCTGACTGGCTGAGTCGCGATGACATCACTCCCGTGCATGCGCGGGCTATTAAAAAGGACTAATATCTCCTAAATGGTTCACGTTTAGGAAATATTAATTTTACCTACAGGTAAGCTTTATTATAATTTTACCTGTAGGAAGAGTATACTACCACTTTAATACTTGTACCAGTGTCTGCAGCACTGAGAGAAAAGGGATTCTTATCTAGCAGCACAGAAGACGGGAGATGCTGAACATGTTTTATGAGTTTGTGGTGGCCAGTGCTCTCCTGTATGCTCTGACATACTGGGGAAGCAGGCTTAGGGTGGCTGACACTAACAGACTCAACAAACTTATTCACAAGCCAGTGATGTTGTTGGTTTGGAGTTGGAATCTGTAAAAACAGTATCGGAGAGGAGAATGTTGTTTTAGGTACATTTAATGTTGGACAACTTCTCCCATCAACTCTACAATACGCTAGTATCATCAGTGACAGATGGTTACAACCACAATGCACCAAAGAGTGACACAGGATATAATTTTTGCCTGTGGCCATCAAATTATATTCTCATTTGTGAGTGCTGGATGTCAGGATTTAATCTGTTTTATGCTCCGGATTGTTATGTAGTTTTTTATAGTATGTTGGTATTAGGTTAATTATGATTTTGGGTAATGCTAGAGAAAGTGGTGTAATATTTGCCCTGGCACATCATAGCATTCACCCGGCACTCCAAGAAATAACAGAATTCAACTGCAATATTTTTGTACTGTCAAAACCTGCACTTTTATTATCACACGACACACAGGAGGATATATCTTATAGTCCTCACAATCTGCATAATAACACACACCAATACAAATGTGAGCATTACAGCATGAAATCAATATATTACCAAAGCTATGTTAGAATCTGGAAGGAACAAATTCCAAACTGCCCAGGGGGTCACAGGGAAGCCATAGGTGTGACCAGTCAATGAGCACATATAGCCTTAGCAAAAATCCCAGCGTCAGAGCGTCTTCTGGCCACTAAGGGGGGCTTCTACTGGTCTTTAACCACTAGCCTACAGGGCACTTATACCCCCTTCGTGCCCAGGCCAATTTCCAGCTTTCAGCGCTGTCACACTTTGAATGACAATTGCACGGTCATGCAACACTGTACCCATATGAAATTTTTGTAATTTTTTTGTGACAGATAGAGCTTTATTTTGGTGGTATTGAAACACCTCTGGGTTTTTTATTTTTTCTTAAACAAACCAAAAACCACTGAAAATTTTGAAAAAAAAAAAGTTTTTTCTTAGTTTTTTGTTATAAAATTTTGTAAATAAGTGATTTTTCTCCTTCACTGATGTGCGCTTATGAGGCTGCACTGATAGGCACTGATAGGCTGCACTGATGGACACTGATAGGTGGCACTGATGGGCACTGATGAGGATGCACTGGTAGGTGGCACTGATGGGCATTGACAGGCATCACTGATGGCCACTGATAGGCGGCACTGATAGGCGGCACTGATAGGAGGCACTGACTGGCACTGTTAGGCGGCACTGACTGCCACTGTTAGGTGGCACTGACTGCCACTGTTAGGTGGCACTGACTGCCACTGTTAGGCGGCACTGACTGGCACTATTAGGCGGCACTGACTGGCACCGATAGGCGGCACTGATGCACACTGATAGCAGCGGCACTGACTGGCACTGATAGGCGGCACTAACTGGCACGATGGGTGACACTGAAAGGGAGCTCAAATGGGCACTGATATGTGTCATTGATGTGCACTGGTAGGCACTGATATGTGGCATTGATTTGGCACTGATGGACACTGGCACGTGGCACTGTTCAGCAATGACAGCTGGCACTGATGGATACTGACAGGTGGCACTTCTGCGGCCACAATGATCATCAGGGCACACTGATCATCAGTGCCCTGATGATCAGTGCACATGTCCCCTCCGAGGAAAGCCGATTACCGGCTCTCCTCTCCTCACGAGCTGTTCGTGTGACAGCTCGAGAGGGAGAGAAATGCCGATAACCAGCATTTCCCTGTTTACATGATCAGCTGTGATTGGACACAGCTGATCACATGACCGAGCCGACGTCTTCGGCTCTTTCCATGGATCGGTGATCTGCTGTGTCCTAGGGACACAGCGCACCGCCGATCGCCACACGCTCCCGGAGCCCGCGCATGCGCAGTGAGAATGGTAGGATGTCATATGACGTCCTCCAGAACGAGAGAACCACCTTGCGCCCCTCAATGGACTATATGGCGGGCGGGAGGTGGTTAACCACTTGCCCTCCTGAGGATTTACCCCCCTTAATGACCAGGCCTCTTTTTGCTACTCGGCGCTGCACTAATTCAACTGACAATTGCGCGGTCATGCAATGCTGTACCCAAATGAAATTTGCGTCCTTTTTTTCATACAAATAGAGCATTCTTTCGGTGGTATTTGGTCACCTGTGCGCTTTTTTTTTTTTCACGCTATAAACAAAAAAAGACCAAAACTTTTGAAGAAAAACAATATTTTTTACTTTCAGCTATAAAAAATATATCATAAACTCAAAGTTAGTTATAAATTTAGGCCAAAATGTATTCTGCTACATGTTTTTGGTAAAATCAAGTGTATATTGATTTTTGTGTGAAAGTTATAGCGTCTACAAACTATGGTATAGATACTGCAATTTACGCCATTTTTTTCCCTATACAGCGCTGCGCTAGTTTAACGAACAATTGTGCAGTCATGCAATACTTTACATAAATGAAATTGACATCCTTTTTTTCCCACAAATTGAGCTTTCGTTCTGTGGTATTTGCTTGCCTGTGCGTGTTTTATTTTTTGCGCTATAAAAAAAAATGTATTCTGCGACATGTCTTTGATAAAAAAAAACCCAATATGTGTAAATTAATTGGTTTATGGGAAAGTTATAGCATTTACAAATGGTGGGAAAGATACTGGGATTTTTTATTTTTTTTAATACTAATAATGGCGGCGATCAGCGACTTATGGCGGCGATCAATGACTTATGGCAGCGATCAGCGACTTATGGTAGGACTGCGGCGGACATTCTGACACTGGGGGGGAACTGACTTGGGGTAACTGACATCCCCAGTGACACCAATACAGTGATCAGTGCAAACAAAAAAAAACCACTGACACTGTACTAATGGCACTGGGGAGGAAGGGGTTAACTTTTTTATTCACTGAAAGGGTTAACTGTGTGAGGGGAGTGTTTTACTAGGGGGCTGGGGTGTGTACTGCAGGGAACACCGCTGATCTGGAGAGATAAACTCTTCTCTCTGGATCAGCATGTCAGGAGCTGACAGGGGACTGACAGAAAGCAGCGCTACTGCAGCCCTGCTCTCTGTCAGTGATTGCCGCTAATCGGCGGGACGCGGCCGTTAATGACTGTCCGTGACCCGGCGACTGACACCCGCGGCCATGATTGGCGGGACGGGTAGGGTGGTGGCACGCCTCGCGCGCCCCCTACCTGTTTTGCAAACGCACGTTTTAAAACGTGGTTTTGCCCAGCTGTGCCGACCTGCCACCGTATTTCTACAGTGGTTGGTCGGCAAGAAATTAAACAGGTATTTATCTCCTAATGTGAAGTTACTAGATGTCATAAACATATTTCATTCCATAAATAAGTTTTTATCTTGCTCTCAGCAGAATATCTTGTGACTCTGTTCCTTTGGTCTAGAGAAATGACACATCAGTCCCCTCTCATGCCCCTGGCATTTGGGCAACAATGCTTTATTATAAAAATTACCCAGGAAACAAAGGGTCCAAGGCCAACACATTTCATAAGCATTACAGGTAATAATTGCTGTTATTGGTAATTTTATTGTGTCATGGTGTCTTGTTTCTGTTTGTTATTGTGATCTTGTGCTGTCTTCGTTGAATGTAACTGTATCTTAATAATTTCCCTTTAAGATTAATAAAGTATTCTGAATCTGAATTACACAGGCACAGCTACAGGATGGCAGAGCCATGTATAGCCAGTGTTAAGCCTGAACTTCAGCTGCTATAACTCTGTATCGGCCAATCTTGACAAAGGTATCCTCTCTGCCTATGCTTTTTTTCCTCATCGCATGCTCAGATTGAATTGTCCAGGTTTGTAAAAGTTTTCCATTAGCGCAACAAATTAGGCATTGAACGCTTGTATACTTTACACTGTATTTTAGGAGCTGCACCTTAAAGTTGAGCTCAAGACCCATCAATTAGAGTAGTTTTCTATACATAAAGAAAAAAAAAATCATTACATTTACCAAGCTTAAGAACTAGAGTGTCAGGAAAAAAAAATATCACTGAGGGCATCACTGACCTTCATAAAATATTTAAGTAAAACAGAATTTCATTCAGCTAAAGGGAAGTATGTGCAGTAACTTCTACTGATTACAAGACTGCTGTTTACACAGCCATCAGAGAAGAGGAACACATCAGACTGGAGAGAAGGGGGACATCCCAACAGAGCCTGGGAAACGGTTTAAATTAGCAAAATAAGATTTCAGAAAAGTGTATGTAAGAGAACAAGAAAAATACATTTCTTCAGTATATATCGTCAATACATGCACACTTCCCCGTGGTTTATCCCTCTTTATTTTCCATGTGCCTTGGTCACACCAGATTGGTGGTGTAGAAGGAGGAATGCCAGGTCTGTACAGCGTATAGACCTGCCCAGCTGAACACGGTGCTGTAGGTCTGCATACCGTATGGACCTGGCAGCAAAAGGGTTAAAGGGTACATTGCTGCAGCTGTTCCATTTCAATCTGCCCTGCTCTGATTTCTCATAGTCCTCCTCCTCTTCATCCTAAGGCATTTCAAAGTCTTTTATGACTATTCACTCTCAATGCCCACTATCTGCTGGTCATGAATCTGATGCAGCTTCTGTATGTTCTATGTGTGTCAACGGCAGCACCAACACCAACAGCATCAGAGCTCCATAAAATGACATGGGGTATGACAACTGATTCATTCATTTTTACAGTCTCCTCCTCAGGCACACATATCTCAGAGCTTTTAGTGTATTCTAGTATTTGGTTGATCCCAAATGCTTCATATGCCTCTTCTAATTCCTTACTAACATCAACTTACTAATGGCCACTATTCAATACTCCTACTACTCGACCTCTCCGCAGCTTTTGATACGGTTGATCTAACCCTCCTCCTCAAAAAAATACACTCTCTTAGCCTCAGAGACTCCGCTCTCTCCTGGTCCTCCTCCTATCTATCACAGTGCTCCTTCAGAGTTACCTATAATGCTGCCACCTCCTCTTCACTCCCTCTCTCTGTAGGGGTCCCTCAAGGTTCTGTCCTTGGACCCCTTCTCTTCTCCATCTACACCTCCTCCCTTGGTCCTTTGATAAACTCCCACGGCTTCAAGTACCATCTCTATGCTGATGACACGCAAATTTATCTGTCTACCCCTCACCTCACCCCTTCAGTCTCCACTCGCATCACTAGCCTACTAAGTGACATATCAGCTTGGATGTCACTCCACTTCCTCAAACCCAACCTTTCCAAAACTGAGCTCTTAGTATTCCCCCCCTACCCGTGCTGCCTCCACTGACCTCACCATAAATATTGGTAACACAATCATCAGTCCATCCCCTCATACCAGGGTACTAAGTGTAATCCTAGACTCCCATCTGTTCTTCATTCCAGCCCCAGATCCAATCGCTGACAAAATCATGTAGACTTCACCTCCGCAACATCTCCAAGATACAGCCGTTCCTAACCCCGGAAATCACTAAGCTACTTATTCACTCCCTTGTCATATCAAGCCTCGACTATTGTAACTCCCTCCTCATTGGCCTACCTCATCGCAGGCTATCCCCTCTTCTGTCTATCATGAACGCTGCTGCCAGATTCATCCACCTTACTAACCGTTCTGTATCTGCCACCCCTCTCTGCCAATCCCTCCACTGGCTCCCAGTTGCCCAACGGATAAAATTCAAAACACTAACAATGACATATAAAGCCATCCACAACACTGCCCCAATTTACATATCCAATCTTATCTCTAAATATCACCCAAACCGTATACTCCGCTCCACGCAAGACCTCCTACTACTCTCTAGCTCCCTTATCTCCTCCTCCCATGCTCGTCTCCAGGACTTCTCCAGGGCGTCACCCATCCTCTGGAACTCTCTACCCCAATCTATCAGACTATCACCTACTCTACTTACCTTTAGGTGATCATTGAAAACCTATCTCTTCAGGGAAGTCTATCCCGCCCTCTGCTAATACTGGTATCCTCTCCGCTTCCAACCACTCCACTCCCCACAGTTTTACCTATTGTACCACTCACCCCTCCCTCCTAGATTGTAAGCTCCAAGGAGCAGGGCCCTCAACTCCCTCTTGTATTGAACTGTATTGTTTCCTGTATTGTCTCCCACTATAATGTAAAGCGCTGAGCAAACTGTTGGCGCTATATAAATCCTGTATAATAAAATGATAATAATGGATCTCACTTTGGTCCTAATGCCTGTGAATCAATTAACATTTCTGACATTTGTAAAAATATTTGAAAAAATATCTACCAAGTGTAGCCAGTGCCAATCTGCTCATCACAGTCACTGCCACTATTTTCCTTGCCACCTTGGTCGTTTCCAGTTTTTGTGGAGGAAACACTGGCCTCTTATGTATCCATGGGTACCACATTTCCATTTCTATGTTTTTGGCCATTTGAACTGTAGCAACCAATCTTTGAAACAAATTCTTCCATGTGCGGAGCTTTGCCCAATCACAGCTAATCACAACAAAAGCCTGAATTAATCAGTTTCATTCAGTAACAATGATTGCAAATATCAATGAAATACATTGGTTTTACCAATCATAATGTGTAACAAAAAAACTAAATCCTGATTACTTGCCCAGAGTAGT